GACAGCTGGAAGGCATAAATGGTTATAGCCATCACAGATGGGGGAAAAAAATCCTGAGCAGAGAGAGAAAAAGCAGTCCAGTTGTCCTTAGGCTAGACAATACTTTGCTTGCTGCCATTTTCAAGAAGGAAGAAGTGAAGATACTGAAAAATATACAGTGGTACTGGCATTTGACTTCAGAGGTCCCATTTCTTTACCAACAAGACTTACCAATACTCAGTGTTCATGGTCCTGCTTGGGATCAAAACTGTACAGTTTTGGCATAGAACTTCCAGTTTGAAAGAGGGTGTCAAGAATGCTCAAATACCTTGAAATACTATCTGTGAGGCAAGCTGAAAGGTAGATTTTTTTTGTAGTCAAGGGAAAATTTGCAATTCTTTGGTGGGCTTCATAGAAACCTTCAGAAGATAAAAGTGTCTGTGCTCATGATGGATAAACTTAAAGTTTGAAGGACTCGGGATAAATGTGAAAAGCAACCTGCTAATTCAGAACAAGAAAGTCTTGGAGTAGAATATCTGAAAAGGTCTCTTAGGGGCTGGTTAGACAACATTTGATAATACTGATATGGAATAAGTCGAAGGACAGAAGGGTAGAACAGATAATTCTATTTTTCTCTGAAACTTTCTATAGTTGTGGACCTCCGCTCTTTTTGCTTTCAACAGTCCATGATGATCTGTCATGTAGCACTTGGAACAAGGGTGTGTCAACTTCCACTGCTAGTTCCAAAGCAGATGTCTTTCTGTCTCTGCCCACTTTTCCATTTTCCCGTTCTGGTTTGAAGCTCAAACTCCAAAGTTTGCACCTTTGGAAAAAAGTTCAGATCTTTTTGAATAGCTTTCAAGAAGCCCAGCTCTATGTTTTAAAACTCTCTGATAACACTAATTTCTTATTCTACAAGTTCATTTTGCCATTTTGATGTTTCACCTTCTCTGCACTTATAGCAAGTGCTCTTAAATATTTAAATGTTAAAGTACTACTGGCATTATAGGATACAAGGGAAATTAAATTAGCAGAAATAAATAAGGTGTACCTCTGAATTTAAGCTTTGAAATGGACAGCCAAAATGGCTTTTTTTTTTTTTTTTTTTTTTTTTTAACCACAGTCACCAAGTTCAAATAGCAAAGACTGGGATTAAAACGGGATAAACAATATGAAATGAAGAGGATGTTGCTGGCTTCCTATGTGTATTCTGAAGTAGGGCAGAATGCAGAGAATTTTGAAGCTTTTTAAGGGTAGGGATAGGAATTTTATTTCCTGTAAACTGCAAGACAAATTCAAGTTAAAGTAATGAACCAGTAAGTATGCAGATAAATTTTATAAAAAGTGTAGGAAAGTATTCCAGAGGCAAGTATTTTAATTGTGTTTTTGAACTGATAGAGAGGATGAATTTGGAATTTAAAAGTTTTTTTTAACAATATACAGAAAGTTCCTAAAAGCTTTCAACAGCATGAATTTTGAACTTCACCTCAAAAATGTTCAGATGCTTTTGGCTGAGTAGAAACTGCTGCCTGCAGTAGGAGGAATACTTCAGTGGATGATGGATTATCTGAAACTCAGTACGTGTCCCCTACAGCATGCAGTGAGGTCAAGTGGCAGCATAATTTGTGAGGAATACACAGGAACATTCTCCTGTGTTCTGTTCCTACTAGAAAAGAAATGTGCAGAACAGAACTGAGATAAAGTTAAGTTACCAGGTAAACACTCATTTCTAACTAGTCTATAACTACTCACCCATCAGATTCACTTTCCAACTGAGAGATAAACGTTTGGAAATAGTTTGTCCGACTAAACATACAAGACTACTTTGGGATGAGCCACGCTCTAGGAATTTTTATTTTTCTCATTTATTACAACACAAATTTAGTGAGATGAACTTAGCAGGAGACATCTACACTGTAGATCTTTGCGTTTAATCAGATAAATCCACCTACAGTGTATACAGTCCAATTGAAAGAGAGCTTGCTTCACTTCCATTTGTTCTTAAGAATATGCTTAACAAGCGTTCCTTCCATGTTGACATACTCACCACTAATAGGATGGGAAAAACAATGAACCTTTGAGCAATTCACATGATTTTCCATGCAAGTGGCATTCATATACACTTCACCCATTTTTCATATTACTGATACATTCATATCATGAAAGCAGTTACTGTTTTGATCTACTCAGTTTTTATATTTACAGTGGATCACTTTGTTCTTTTTCTCATTTAGTAGTTGTTATCATATTAATAACATTCCTTATATTAACATTCATTATATTCCTATATATTCCATATTATAATTCATTTCTTATGCACAAATCAAACTAAAAATGCTAAATAAATTTTATTTCATTCAAAATGTACATAGAGTCAGAGAATCATAGAATCTTTTATATTGGAAAAGGCTTTCAAGATCACCAAGTTCAACCATACATTTGGCCTACCAATCCTATCACTAATGAAATTACCAAATGGTACTGTAATCATGAGGAGTTGTCACTGACTTCAGTGGAGCTAAAATGTCCTCAACAGGGAGGTAAAGACAGCTGAGCAGACTTCAAAATGTACTGATGTAAAAAAAAGTAACTGAATAATACTTGGTGTATTTCCAGTGCTACATCAATATAGCAATATAACTTCCTTTTTTACATTTAAGAAATCATTATTATGTGTCAGCTAGCAATAAGACTACTTTCTTTAGAAAAAATCTGCTACTAAAAGTATGGCATCCACGTCTAAACTAATGCACACATATTTTCCAGTGCAAACATGCACACAAGTACATGTTTTCTTGTCTTTTCTGTAGCAGGCACCTTGTGGAAGGTGTAAGCAAGCTTCTTTCAAGGAAGCAATAGATCTCTTAATTTCAGGCTGCACACCAAGATTAACACAAATACCACTAAATTTCTTTGAAATTCTTTCATTTTTATTTATAAAAAAAAAAAAACAACAAAAAGCTCTTTGTTATTGTGCTCAATCTGTTGTTTACTACTGAAGACTGAGATAATGAAGATCACAGCTCAAGAATGTATAACAGTAATGAAAAACTCTTCCTTCTTCACAAATAATTTTAATTATCATGAAAGGAAAGCCAAAATAGGAGTAAAATGCATGTACCTTCAAATTGATCTGCCTACAATTTACAAAATATTTTACTGTGGTTGCAATTATCTCAGCATTATATAACACATGTAGGAGTCTTTTGTCTTCAGGCAGCAAAAAGTCCTAAGGTATAAGTATAGACGTGATCTGAAATCATACTTCAATTTTGGCAGAATATAGTACAGGAACTTTCTTGCTGCTGAATCTCCTTTGGTCTTCAGATCAGTCAGAAGGATTGAAGTCAAAGTAAGCTATGCATGGAAACTGAATTTTCATTGATCCAATTTTTCCTTGGAACTTATTACATTTCTGTATGAATTTCCTTTTAAAGTTATGGTATTCTGTGAATGTCTGGAAGTGTGCTGCTTATGACGTTTTATTTGGAAAAAAAGAAGGGTATAACAGCAAAAAGTACAGCATTATAATGGTATTAGTAACCACACTGTTACTCATATGCACACTGAGCTAATTCTCAACTCCTTCACTATTTCCTCACCCATTCCACTGATCTAAATTTATCCAGAGCTGGATCACTCCCATAACAGTAGTTGTGCCTTGGTAACTTGAACCCCTTTGCAACAATAAATGGAGTAAACAACAGGTATCACCAAAGATAAGAAAGTTCAAGGTCTTACTGCAGTTATGGAGCATATGACTAAGTAATTCACACTTGTTTTATGTCCCCAGTAATTTGTAATCAAAATGATAAATGTTCGGAATTGCTCTTCCCTGAATTCATCCTACTGTTGAGATTGAAAAAGTTTGACCTTAGTAAATGTTTTGGAATGTTCCTGCTTCAGTAACATAGATAAGAAAATAGGAAATGTTATGAAAACAGTAGACCAAAAATACAGCTTTCATGACAATTTGAACCAGAAGATAACATTACCAAGGCCAAGTTTCCATTAACTAGCCAAGGTGCATTAACATTTTATTCAATGTGCAAACAAAATTTAATTCTGTAAAGATCCCAATAAAAGCAGCAAATCGAAAATGTAAAGCTTATGATGAGACATATAACAGAGAAAGACAAAGATTCAGAGTAATTTATCAATAGGAAATATGGTTTGGCCTTGTTTTGCTGACTTCAAACACATATGCACATGCTCTTTCTTAGGGGTTGCCAACCCACTAGCCAGACACAGCTTCTGCAGCTCACTGTTCATCCAATTAGAGATTCCCTTTCCATTACTAAGTTATTCAGTGTTCCCCCTTTTGACACTGTGCTTCTGTACTTTGTTGGGTCTGTAGGGGTAAGCCTTTTAACACACAATGACAACACTTTGAAGCATTCTTAAGAGAGCAGTTAAGAAACTAACCGTAGTATTTTGGCTATAGGCAGCTTCTGTACAACACTTGCAGGTCTTTTCCAAAGACTAAACACCCGAAAACTATGGCAGTGTCCTGCTTCCACCAGCCTCCAAAGACTTTCTGCTAAGCTTTTTGTTGTCAGGTGCGTATGCCTTAGAAGTGAGCTACAAATCCTCGACTGAAAATAAGGCTAGAGAATGAATCAAATGAAATGACAGTATTTTTAAACATGAAAATGGAAAATTAGACACACAGCTTCCATTTTAACAATAGTTTTGTTAGGGTAGGAAAAATCTTTTCAATACCCAACTCGTCACACATTCTTGGACTGACTTGTTAAATGCAGCCAGCAGCAAGTCATGATCTTGTGAAATATGAGTACCTGCAAAACTCAATTCTATTGTGGGCACGTACGCACATTATTTCCTTTGCTACTCTGCATTTTTTGCTCTGATATCTGATGTTTCATAGTTCTCTATTGAGAAAAATATTGTAATGACAGTGAAAAAGGAGTAGCGTAACAGTCATGGGGTGTGATGTAATAACAGTAGGCACAGCATTGCTCACAGTATCGCAGTGTGCAGTTGTTTTCTGAAGTGAATGAGCGTGGTGACCTTTAAATCCGTCCCTGCTACTTCTGCACTGTATTTCTTACCCACTGCTGCTTCACCAAAGCCACTGGGCCATGTTCAGCACAGCACAGTTCTGGAAGAGTCTGTTATACTGGGAGTAAGTAGAGAAACTTCCTTTCAACTTCTGTGCTTTGTTTTCTTTGGGTTTCAGTCTTGCCTCTTTTGTTTGTTTGTTGGGTTTGTGTTTTTGGGGGGGAAGGTGATTATTTTGTAGTTTTTTTTTGCAGTTACTTTGTTCTATGTGATGTCACATTTAAAAGAATCATCACTTATTGATCATTGCTATTACCATTATTACTGTATTACATACTACTGTGAGTTCTCCTGTCAGAGATTGGGACTCAGGGCTCAGAGCCATACAGCTGAGCAGACCAACCAGGAGAAAGTTCCTTAGAGCTGAAACAGAGGTACAAAGAATAAAAACAATTTGTTCAAAGATGGCAAGAAAAGTGTGGCAAGACCAGAAACCCTAATCACTTCTCATTGGTGGGCTGTGTCCAGTTTTCTCAGAGAGCATTTCTGGACTCTGGGTGCATTCTCCCTTCCCCTCTTGGATGAAAGAATCCGGGGTGTAATAGGGCAGCTGTTGCCCACTGTATGTCCCTGGACTGGGCACTGTGCGAGATGTTCTCCATGGGCTGGTGGGTACCATGCTGAATCCTGTTGTCTTAATCCTATCATCTGACGCACCTAGGCTAAGGCAGTGCTCACACTCCCTGTGATTAAAATGACGGTGACAACACATGCCCATCTTCTTCCTCCATGTCTGAGAAGTGAGTGTGAGCTTGCTGACAACTTTAAAAATGAAAAGCATCGCCTACCTTCCAAGAGTTGCAGTTATGTAAGGTACTTGTTAGTTTTGAGGCATGTTCCTACTGCAAGCTACTGAAAAACATTTGGAAAACTGTGAAAGTCCTTATTTCAGCCAAAGCATTGTAATTTGGTACATAGTGATGCACATGGAGCTGAGTGATTTTCCTGGTTTCGCAGAAATCTTGCCTTGAGACCTGAATACCCAGAGGGCTAGAGGGCTGTTATTTCAAGTACCTAGCATGTCTGACATTGCCTAGATCACTGTATGACTGAGTCTAACTTACAAGGAAAAGGATCTCTGTATTTCCAGTAAAAAGTGAGCTCTCATTTTTCACTTAACAAATATTTCCATATGGTTTGGTGCATTTCCAGAGGGGCTTTAGGCTAGGATGAACTAGGAGCTGTTTCTTCAGGGAAGACAGACTTTAATTGTGATCCTCTCTTACTTTCATTTTCCTGATGTTTGGGCAGTATATTTTTTATGCCGTGGATGAGAACAAGCAATCAGATGGGATCATCTGAAAATTTCAGACTACCCTCTTCAATGCAGAGAAACTGTACTCACAATATACTTGGCTTTTATTAATCTAGTTTGACTGACTACTAAAATACTCCTTTTACAAGGGCATAGACATTTCAGATGATCTGGAATTTATAGTGACAGATAGGATAGCTTAATATTCAGAGTACAAGCACCTTTGCTGGTTTAATATTGTTGCCTGTAACCAACCACTGTTTTTCAGCTATCTGCTCAGAGTGATCACCTTTTGAAAAGGGCACATCATCTAAGCATACCAATCTGTGGCCTCAGCATAAAAACTCCCATGTGCTTGGACTGAAATAACTGCTATTTCCATGTAAGACGTATCTATAACTTTACTTACATCACAAGCAGATAAAGTTTCAGCTGTCCCTGAAATCAGACTATTTCCTCAAAACTTTCACTCTATTAACCCACTCCTCCATATGCTGTCATTAGCAGGTTGGTTTGCTTTGATGCTTGTATGATTTCACAGAACAAAGTAGCTGAACTTGAGCGGTCAAGCCATAGCAAATAGTTGGGATGATAACCTTTTAATCCAGCTCATCATAATAGTTCATCTGACTTCTCTTTACAAAGCAGGTTGAAATGAATAGGCAGCAGAAGAGATCGAGTGATGTGGCCTGCTGTGGTAACAGAGGTGACTAAAGTGGCAGTTCCTGGCCACAGCGCCTGGCTGCATGACTCAGGTTGATAGGGATGGATGAGGCCATCTGCTAAAAGCCCCAGGTGTGACTCCTTCCCACACCTCTCTTGTGTATTCGTTCTCTTGCATGCTCATTCTCATTCCCACACCTCTTGCTGCATACCAGTGGCACCGTGACTGATCTGAGCGTTCTCGAGTCCTTGACTTGTGCACATATGGCTTAACCATAGAGACCTGCTGCCAGATGTGCTCTTTATCAGGTGACAGGGTGGCTTGTTCCAAAGGGCAATGGAGGTGAAATAACTTCAAACTCAAATTGTACTGCAGAGCTCCCACAGATGCTGAGAAATACCCCACATCATTCATTCTACTCAGATGGTACCTGTAATATCTCTAGTCAGGGGAGCAGATACTGTCTGATGTGGGCTTCCTCCATGAAGTAGTTGCAGGCCACCCTCAAGTTACCTCCTGGTACAGACCAGTTTGGGAAGAAGCAGTTTCCTTTTCATAGATCCCTGCTGCTGGTTGTCCTTGCCCTGCATGTCTTGTGAGGACCAGGCCCTGACACCGAGGAGGCATCCATCTTGTTGGGGTGCTCTCCACTTGGGTGGTCTGCTGCCCACAAAGCAGTAAATCATTCCACTTGCGTAAGGAGCAAATGTTCAGCAAGCCTGGCAGTTATTTGGCTCAGGGTCTGAGGAAGTAGCTTGGCTTGTCATGCAGTGGGTTTAGAAAGAAACAGAAAAAGGTGCAGCTGTTCTGGGTCCAAATGCAGAGCTGCAGGACTTAGAGCCTGCCAGCCTGCCCTAGTCAGCCAGGGACTGAAGGAACAGTCAGGACAGACAGGGGAAGTTCAGTGGGATTAGTGGGCCCATCTGACCACCTACTGGTAAGAAAAGTCTTTCACCAGATTGCCCAGAGTAGTTCTGGATATCCCATCTCTGAAGGTGGTCAAGGCCAGGTTGGATGGGGCCCTGGGCAGCTTGATCTGGTGGGTAGGAACCTTGCCCATGGCAGGGTGTTGGAACTGGGAGGCTTTTATGGTCCCATTCAGCTAAGCCAATCTATGATCCTGTGTACAGTTTCTGGCTCAGAACATCCCTCTGCAGGGATGAGCAGCTAAGAGCAGAAGGGCAGGGAATCAAGAGGTCAAATGGGGTCCATAAAATAAACAGTGCCAACACTTCCCTAAATACAAGAACTGCAGAAAAGGCTTCTCTACTTTCAGCCAGTCTTTCTCGGACATTTGGTGTCAGTGCAGAAAAAAAGAGCTGAGTCATACAATTTTTATGAGGGCTCCTCCTGCCATTCTAATAGTTACTTAATTTCACAGGTAGAAGAGTTACCTAGTACACAAGAAGGGCATTACAAGCAGAGGAAGTTATTTAACAGAAATAAAATTATCTCGTGTGTCTACTGTAAAGAAGCAAGTTCTGCCTGCCTAAAAAATACAAACTTTCTTTTGTTATAATTGCTCATCTAACCAGAAGTCCCTTTGGTTTCATGTCTTTTTAAATCCCTTCCTTTTCTTTCCAGAACAAGCTGGCATTCAGCACTGTAGGAAAGAATCCAAGCTAAGAGACGTCTTTGTAGAGAAAATACTGTGAACACAGTTTCTCTCAATGGAGAAATTGAATGCTCAGGGCACTTGGCTAGCTGTCATCCTTATCCCTACAGATACACAAATGTAATATTTAGCAAGGACCTTTTACATATTTTTTTCCGTGCTTACGTTTGCTGTGACTTTTCCTGCTGAGTACAGGGTTGGAAGCTGGACTGACAAACAGACTGTGTTATTATAATCACATTTTTTAGATCTTCTGGAAGAGCATGTGGGTTTTGCATTTCACTCTAAAGCATTTTATATGGAAAATGAGTAGCATAATAGCAGCTCCTATTAATGAAGAGTTTTTGTCTTTTTTATAAAGTAACAAAATGAGAGCATGGGCAAATTTATATTAAAAGAACCAAGTATTTTGGGAAAAGGAAGAATCAGTATCAGATCAGGCTAGGAACAAACATAATGATTTCTGCAAAAAGCTGAAAGAGCTCAACTGAAAAAACTATCACTATCATTTTTGTTGGTAGTCCTGAAAGGGCAGTTCCTCAGGTAGATGGTCTGAATGTTCACTGAAGAGCAGATTTCACCTCTGCAGAGCTAGAATTTGTAGAAAAGCAGAAAAACTCTTGTTTCTCATGGGACTGTTCTCTTTTTGGTGTCTTGTTGCTGTGACAGCTTGTTGCCCAGGAGGGAAGGTAGCAGTTGGGGAGAAAGTGAATGCCCTTCCTACATGACAGAAGGAACTGATACAGAGCCAGCGCAGGGGCAGATCACACGGCATAGTTACTCACATAGTTCACCCAGCATGTATTCTACTTCTTACACAGAAGTGTCATTTTTGAAACTAACTTTAAAAATTACGTGGCAATGTGTCCTTATATTATCTCACTGCCTAGGTGCCTTTTTTTCTGGATTATACAGATCAATGATGTATCAGTGAGAGAATGCTAGGACGCAGGCTACTAATGGAGATAAAAATCAGGGTTATTTCCATGTCCTTCTTTTACATATTTAATGAAATGTTACGTTATGCTCTACTGAATAATGTGCAAGAATCTGCCTTGCAGAAGCTATCAAAACATCATTATACAACTAGCTACATTTGCCAAAGCATGCAGTCATTCAGAACACCTTTGCATAGTTTAAAATCTGTTAATCTTTAGATTCATTACCACAGTTGCACATGCCATCATATTTTATAAGTTTGTCTCATTAAAATATGTGCAACATATTCGTGTAATCATGTACAGATAAGAAAATTACATAGAGCAGTAAATAGCTCAAATAATGCAATGTGACTTTACAACACAGAGATGTAACAAGTTCTAGAGAGGGAGGACATACAGGAATTCTGGGCAAATAAGTCATTTGAAAATTAAAATGAGACATGGAGGATTTTTCATCCTCCATATGCAGGCATGGGCCCGCATACAGGTTAGTGGATTGCAGTATTGCCACGTTTCAGTTTGAGAAATACAGGAGACCACTGTTGGAGAGGTATACATTCTCTTTTTACAGACTTTTGCTATTTTGTGGGTTTATTTGTGGCATTTGTTTTAAGAATTTTAGGGTTTTTTGTTGATTTGTGTGTGCTATTAAGTACAATGACAGACATACCCTGCACTCCTTTTCTGCTCCCCCAGACCAGTGCATTTAGAACAGCTGGTGCCCTAAAGGAGGTGCAGCTGTGGTTGATTGACACTTGCTCAAGCAGGTTGGGGTAAGAATGGGCTGGTGCCTGCTTTGAGGAGGTGTTGGCTAGGCTCTGATTCTGGACATCAGGTAAAGTGTTTATATCAAGGATTTGGAGTGGAGTAGCTGTAGAGTTTCTATAGCACTGAGGATGACAACATAGAACACATGGGACATTGTTTTAACATAATAGTTTCAATTTGCATCTAAAATACATATGTATAAAAGAAAACATATGCTAGAGAAGAAAACTTATTTGCATTACTCTTGTAAGCTTTTAAAGCCTGTGTTCTGGAATGAGGAACTTTCCCAGCAAGAGGCCCGAACAAATTGATTTCAGCACTTCGCGTACTCCATCGTGGCTTTAGACACAATACTGAGAATACAAATTGACCAAAATTGTTACTTATTTAATGTTTACAATACAGCAGAGTGAAAAAGGTTCTATTTGGTTATTTTCTGTTATTGTAACAGAATAACGAAAGAGATGGTCTCTGCTCCAAACAGCCAGCTGTCTAAAAGATTAGATGTGATAAGATCAAGAGATAAATCAGACTGGAGCAGATGAGTAGGAAATGCAGGTAATTGGTTAAAACTTGTCTGCGTTCAATCAGGAACACTTTGCACAGTTTTCCAATTACGTAAGTTCTGAGATCACAGGTTTTCACTTTAAAAAGGACATATTTATTTTGCCTGGTGAACCTGCTTTGTTGGAAGTTCAATTTCTATGCTCTTGCTTTCAGGCTTAAAGGAAAAGTAGTAGAAGAGGAGGAGTTCATCAGAGCAGCCCATCAGTCCCATTCACTGCAGAGAAGAAAGAGTTGAGAACTTCAGTTTCAAGAGACACTGTTGCGCATTGATCTCTGTGGGCACGCTCTGCTAACTGCCAAGGTTTGGGTTTCTTTTTTTAACAGCTTAGCATGGCTTTTAGCAAGCATAAATATAGCTGTACAAATAGTGAGAAGCTATTTTTGAACATTTTGTTCACTGCTAAATACAGAATTGCTAACTCAAGCATTCAGAAGTCATGATTCAGGTCCCCAGAATGAGGAGGCTGGCCTTAGTACGTAGATCCTTTTTTGCTTGCTGTCTGTTTTGCCTACTGAAAATTTAGAATGTCTCTGGATCATGTCTTCAGGCTTTTTAGTTCAAAAGTGAAAATAGAAGTTTAATCTGAGTTTATATTTGCAGGCTCTTAGAGCCAGGACTTAAAGAATTCTTCCTTATGCTTTGGTACAAATGGAAACCTTGGAAGCAGTGTAAAACAAAATCCTTGCATTCTTATCTCCGATTAGCTCTTAAACAACTGTCAAAAGATTTTCTTTGCTTATCTGCTAAAGTGTATGCCATCCTGGTAGCTGAAATTTCTTTAATCAAAAACGGAAATATCACCACTGACCAAACAGACCAGCACAAGACTGACCAGTGCACCATTCATCTCCCACCTTCCCTTGTTTTCAGAGCTTTGGCAGAAGGGGAACACAATGGCTCCCTGTACATTAATCAACAAAGCATAGAAAAGCAGCAGTATTCTGAGTGAAGAAGCACTTGCTCATGCAGCATAAATGTATAATGAATGTCACTCAGAACACAAATATCATAGCACAAATGTCAAATACTCCAAGGAATATTTGCAACAGGCATTAGCTTAAACTTGTTTGATGAATGTTTTGTACAAGTAATTTCAATTTGTGACGCATTTGGAAGGGTTTTTGTTTTGCAATTTTAAAAGCTGTTAATAGGCAGCTCATAAACAAGACAAGGATTTGACTTTGTTCAGTGAAAGGAAAATAATACATTGCTTGTCCAGTTGTAACCTTAAGCCCAGTATGATTTTGTACATCCTTACCTCCCACTCTCTAACAAATTTTAAACTTGGCTAATGTTGTTAGCAACTGAGTTTTCCTGCAAGAATGGTTTATTGTCCTCCTTCTCTTGAAAGGATCCATTTTTAGGCAATCAGTGTCATAAGAGCTGGTGACTGTTCCATTTCTACAAGCACTTGAAATTACATTTTTGTGGATGAAGCACACTTTATTCACTATTATACTTTTCCTGGAAACACCTCAAAAATAAATTCCATACACAGTGAATACATTGGCGTTTTCACCAGTACAGATTAGCAAGCTTCCCTTCTTCCTTCTAGTATCCTTTACTACTGTAAGGCTCTCAACTGGTCTTTGCTGGCAATTAAATTGTTCTAGCACCATAATAGTCAATTATTGGTTCAGCAGTCATTTACCAAACAGCTGTTCTATTTTCTGCTTGCTCTCCTGAATTCCTTATTTTGCCTCCTTTCACCTAAATAAAATTAGTAAATGTACTAAAAATACTGTAATAATGCCAAGCTATTTTTGTCAGTAGCTCTCAAAGAAGGCTGTGCGCCTCTTTTACTCCCACACTTGAAAGTGGCAGTCTGCTTGATACCTATGAGGGAACAAATAGTCTGGCAGGGAAGGGCACGGGCAGGGCTTGCATCACCCTGACCCGTTCCTGCTTGTTGAGCCAGCTAGGCAGCCCAAGTCAGAGGTTACACCTTCCATAAACAAGTGTAACTTGAATTGTCCTGCAACTATACTAGGGAGCTAGGCAGAGAGAACCAGAGTCCGTAAACAATTTACTCTGGAGTTTTCTTCCTGTGGCTTTGTTGAAGTCCAACCAAGAGCAAAAGTCACATTGTCCTTTCCCTTACCCTTGCAGATATAATGCAGCATGTAGCATGCTTATGACTCACATCACAATAACCTGAAAGTCAAGTCAGTGTGGGCTATGCTGCTGCGACACATGGAGGTGAGGAGATGGAGCTCTTGAACAAAAGAGAAGCAAGCAGAAGCCTTGCAGTGCAGTTCCCTCTCAGACTCATGGCAAGTCAGGACTCTACAGAACAGGAGCAAAGAGGCCTGCAGCAAAAATGAGCTGGTCTGGGATGTGTCTGGCCATCTGCAGTGACCTCATCCTCCTGAAAAGCCACAGGGATTTCTTGCCAGATCACTGCTGAATTTGCAGGTCTTGGATTTTGCTATGTTTTATTTGAGGCTTAGCCCTACTAAATGCAGATTAAATGCATATCTACATACATTTGCAAATATGTTCAGAGATAGTGGGCCTAACAATTCTCTCTGTATCTTTGCTCTTCATGCAAAACAGGCTCTCTTGGCTTAATGATCTTGAGCCAGACTGAAAAATGTTTATATTAATTAACTTTTCTAGGTGTAGTCTAAGGGTTTAGAAAGATTTATTTCCCTATCTAGCTATTCAAAGAAAAAAGAACCTTGAATATTAGGGTTGGTGGTGGTGCTAAGGAGAACATGCAGACTTCTGTTTATAACCAATGAGTCCAGGTTCTGCTCTGATAATGTGGTTGGCAGATGGGGAGCAAGCTGGCTAAGTATTGACAATTAGGCTGGGCAACCCAGGCAACTGAGTTCTTTGCTCTTGGTGAAAGAACATGTGGCTTACTGACACTGGGTCTTAGTCTGTTGATAAGAATGCATGTTTTCCCTATTTGTATGCACAATAAATGCATATTTCACAGTAAGCTAATGATAGGTGTTTATAAGGTATGACAGCATCAGCTCAATTATTGATTTAGCTACTCTGGTAGAAAATGCACCTTATTAGTTTCATACTGCAATAGGAAGAGATTCAGTTGCACTCACAAGTGCTGCTGGAGCTGTATCTATTGTTCTGCTGGTTTATACCCAATATAAATACACTAAGAAACCCTTTTTCAGCTTTGCAGATCATAAGAAATAGAGCACTCTAAGTAAGAATGCTATTGAACAAAGTGTCAAGTAATTCAAGCATGTGGAGCAGAAAAATCAAGCAGTATACAGAAGTGAGAAGTATAGTTCATATAGATGCTGTAATAAATGACATAAATTAGTTCACAATTAGTTATTTTCAAGGTAGGCTTCTTGCTTTTAAAAGTAGCTGCTAAGTTTAGTCCAGTCAGCTATTGTTAAACAAATACTGCAACCAGGTTAGTATAATGCTGTTTACACTAGAAAAGCAGCATCTTCACTCTCCTCTTTTATTCTTCTGTTCTGCACTTTCTGTTTCTGCTTTATATACCCGCTATTGCTAACAGGACCTACCATTTAATATTACATCTGGATGGGACATATTTTGGTTGTAATTATACTTATCTAAGGATATTTCTTAATTTAACTCCTCCGTATTATACAGTATCTTTCTAAATTAAATTTTAAAATAAAGGCAAAGAATGAATCATATTGAAGAGAACCAGGCAGAAAGACTAACAGATCTACTCTGTAACATCATGTAGGTAAGCTGGCTGATTCTTTATGTGGTTTTCAATACAGACACTGTACATTTTTAGACAGTGTCTTTCAGATTATTTTTATATGCGGAAGGACACATTTTCATAATCAGCTTCTAAACCTATCTTCTAAACCTTTCTAAACCAATACAGTTTCATGCTGAATCCTTGGACTGATACATGGTTATAAGGCTCTGTGGTTGTTAAGCTAGTAATCCACTTGTGGTTTGCAGTAAAAATTGCTAGTAGCATTCCGTGAACTGTGGACGAAAGTGTCAATGCTCAAATAGGAAAGACCTTTGTTTTCACATTTAAAAGGCTGCTTGCTCGTTACTGCTTCCTCGGACAGAAATACTTAAAATTAATAGAAAGATCATCTGACCTTACAGTTTAGAGGAACTGAGACTCTGTCATGGTAATCCTACTGGCTGTGACTGTGACACCTACAACTTGCAGCTTTCTAGGAGACTCATACTTACTGCATTGCATCAGAGAGTAATTTTGATAGCTCTGCCCTTACCCTCTTTAGACAAATGATTACACACACAGATCTTCCCTTTCTGAGCTAGTGGCTCCAGGAGAGGGATCCATTCATAGTGAATTCCTCTTATTCAGCACTCTTGTTGGCAGGCTGTTGTGAGTATGGCACAGACATTTGGAAGAGCTATAATAAATGTAGCATGAAAGGTAACCAGACAATTTTAGTAGCATAAATAAATTTTAGGTACTTTCCACACTAAACACGCTTGCAGATTATTATTTGAATGCAGATTGTGATAATTAAAATACATCAGACAGACTTGATTTATTTGACATGTAAAATGCAAAGGTTTATTATTTATGGAATTTTAATATCAAGATTTTTTCATTAATTGAAGTATGAAAGCAAAATACATTATTGATGTTAATTTTTCTGTAAGTGTTTCTTAAAACACCTTACTAACAGCTCAGGCATAAAATTTAGAAAAGGCAGGATGTCAGCCTGACTGCAAAACTTTACCAGTAGGAAGCTACACAGCTTTATAAAGGAGGAAAAAAAAGATTTTCAACAAAGCTGTCCTTATATCTTATATTAACAGTCTTTACGCAACTTCTTCTGACAGGAAGTTACTATTTAATATGCAGAAGAAGTGGCTACTTAACAATATTGTGAATGATTTAATGATATTTAAGATCCAAAATTTAAAAAGCAAACAACTACAACAACAACACACATAATATGTGACAACTGTAAATGACAACAAAAGTTTTGTGGTGCTGTGTGCTTTTAAATAGTTTTATTTTCCAGTGTATTGGAGTTTGGTTGTAATTGAAAAGCATTTATGAGATCAGTCAGATCACTGAATCACAGAATGGCTGATGTGGATGAGTACCTCTGAAGATCATTTTATCCCAGTGCCCCTCCTCAAAGCAGGGGTCAGCTAGAGCATGTTGTTTAGGGCCACAATTAGTGGAGTTTTGTATATCTCCAAGGATGAAAACTCCATAACCTGTCTAAGCAACCTATGCTGTTGCTCAGCCAACCTAGTGGCAAGGGAAGTTTTTCTCATGTTTGAACAGAATTACCCGTGTTCCAGTCTGTGCCCATTGCCTCTTGTCCTTTCACTGGACACCACTCCCAGATATCAAGTATTTATTCCCTTTGGTAAGATCCTTCCTGAGCCTTCTGTCCTCCTAAAGGCTGAACATTACATGTCTCTCAGCTTCTTCTCAGTTGCTCCACACTATTAATGTTATTGATGGATCACTGATGGATCCACTCCAGATGGGCTATGACTCAAAGGTCCATCTGAAGTGTTAGTGTCCATCTGAAGAGCTAGTTAGAAGATAAATAATTCTATGATCTCATGCAAGCAGGTTGCAGTTATGCAATGTGCGATAAAGTTTTGTAGCTGACCCAGACTGAATGCTTCCAACAGGTGAACAAGCAAGCTCATCAGCAGTCTCTCTCCAGAACTACCAAAAGAATAATGTGTGCTCACCCAGTTTAAATCTACTTGCTGAATATCCAGACAGGCAGTTTTTCCTAGCTTTGCAAAACTTCCACGAACCATTAGGAATCTGGAGTCTTTCAACTGAGTTCAGGATGCTTTGTGTTAGTATCTTAATGCTCAGCCTAAGTAGCAGGGCTAATTGACTGCTGTCTCTGCTTAGATTAAGAAGGAAGAAATCTAGACTTCAAAATATGGAAAATGTCAGAAACAGGGTTAAAAACATGTAACAACAGTCAGCCAGTAAGAGAGGAAGAATGGAGCAATGACAGATCCTCAGCTTCAACAGTCACACCATTCTCCATCAATACACTATATAATTCTATTTTTCTTGGTTAAAAACAAGAACTAAGAAAATTTTGTCACCTTTGTTTTTCTTTCTGATTATCACTATAGTAGCAAGCAACAGCTATGGAGCTGAATATGTTTAAAGTGCAGCTACTCTTAAAAAACAAAGTCTGTTTTATCCTCACAGTCACAGTGAGATCCACCCAAAGGTGACAATATCAATCATATTAAAGAAGCAAAACAAAACAAATGACAATTGCAAAGGCATTTGCAGTGCTAAGAAAAACAGATTACAGTTACAAGTTATGTTTGGGATACATAACATTCTAAAATAAAAATTGGTTAAAATTGGTGATATTGCTTAAAAAGCTTTCTCTTTGATTTTTTGGGTTTCTTTTTGGTCTCATGGAGAATACAGTCACGATATATCAGTGACAGCATTGTAAGACTAACACTACATCCATAAAGGTAATAGGAACTTTATCTTTGTGTTTTAAACAAAACCAATATAAACATATAATGCTTGTTAATTAACACTGTTGCTTCAGATTATGTTACTGAACATTCCTGTGGCAGATGCATTAGAAATAAATATTGCCTTGGCAGTCTGCTCTTCCCTTAGCTTCAGTATGGAACCGACTGTGAAGCAGTGACTGCACAGCCCTTCAACTGAGTTACAGATGCATGCGTGTTTATCTCAGTGAATGATGGTTTTTCTCACGTATTATTCATCCAAACTAATTCCAAATCACTTTGTGTGCTTTTCTCTTTTCCCTTCTCTTTTTTTTCTTTTTCTTTTTTTTCTTTTTTCTTTTTTTTTTAAGGAAAAAAAAAGAGGAAAAACAATCCATCTTTTTTTTTTCCTTGGGAATGAGAGGACATTAATTAGATTTGAAATTGCTAGATGCACTTTGTAGAAATTAGGGCACCTCTTTTTCTTGGAGAAGGCCTGAATCTGGAAACTATTATTTTGAAGATTTTTAGACAATTATAAACCTAGGAAAAAAAGCAAAATGATGCACCCTTTCAATAATTATGAACAGAACACTTTCAATAAGACTGTTGCTATGGTTATAGAAGAGAGTTACATTAAAACAAAACCAAATAGTTTTCAAATTTTGCAAAAATTAATTTTCCTCTTTCCAAATCGAGGTTACGTAGGTAGCTCTAAATCACATGGTAGTCAACACAGTGGAAGTAGATTATATTTCCTTTATCTGTAACACATTTTCTTGTCAACAAATGAGAAAGAATGAACTCTTATGTCATCTGTGAGATAACAGGATTACATTGGAAAGAGAAATTCACAGGGGGTCCATTGCCAAAAGACAGTTTTTCAAACTATATACAAAGGCAATTCCACTTGTGTGCAGCCTCTGCAACTGTGATGGATGCATATACGTTATTCAGGCACATGGGGGACAGGAAGGAGGATGACAGAAAAAAGGTGTAAATGGGGTAAGATTCATGCTTTTGAGAAATAAGAGCTTCTCAAAGCTGTTTTGAGTTTCAGGATTCAGGAACCTGTCTTGGAAAAGGCATATAACTGCCAGTCAAGCAAACAGGCCTTAAACTTTGCTTTACAATTCATCGCCTGGATAACAACTAGTATGGATTTATAACATACATGGAGATCCTAGGGATCTCTCATCTCAGTTAAAGGTGCTAAGTAGGTCAAACAAATGCTGTATGTCTGATTCTTTAGAGAAGGATGTGTGAACTCCAATATACATAGTGGATAGGGAAAATAGACTCTTTAAAATTTTATAGGATATGAGTTTTGTTTAGTTGAAAGTCAGGAGGGAAAGTAAAGAAAAAATGATGAAAGAGCTGTTAAGCTTTGACAACAAATTTTTCATAGATCTTCCAAATTTTTCCTTTATAGTTTTCTGTTATTTTGATCTAGGAAAGTTTCAGAAGTAGCATTCATAACTAACTTCCAGGTCTCTTTCCAAACTGGCTCATAAAGGTGCTAAATGCCCAGATGCTGTATCTTCTGCAGCTGCTCAGCAGAGTGTGTCACAGAGACCTTAGCTCCGTGGTACAAGGGTCACAAACTGGATTCCTCAACTGGCTGTAGCTGGAGAGGTTCCTGTTGCCAGGAAAGCAGATTAGCTCCCAACATTCAACACTTATTTCAAGTGCTAGGTGCTATGTTTCTTACCAAGGACGTCTTAAAATAATCATCAGTACCTGTGAAGATGAGAAGACTCAAAACAATTATAAAAATAATGATAGGGAACAACAAGACACAAATGAGAAAAAAAACTTGGAACGCACTGAAATAACATAAAATGGCAGGTGCATATCTCTTTAGTGGTTTATAGTGAAGGATCAATGTACAGTTATTTAGAAGCATGGAAATAGTAATGTTCATAATGAGGTAACCGTTTTTTTTGTTTTTTAACTAATGAAGTGGATAGATGTAAGTGTAAGATAAGAAAGAAACACAGAGGAATTTGAGACAGTGGGAGTTGTAGAATGAGATACAAACTTGACATCCCCCAAACAGGGGTGCATTGTGACAAAGGGAGAATACATTAGTGCCTGAACTATCAACAGGATAAAATCATGACAGATTAATTCACCTTGTGAAATCATGGGTGTTAAATTATTCCAGATGATTCAGAGCAGAAGGTGGAAACAGATCCTCTAAACATTGCTGTATATATGAGTAACTATTCTCTTGGGGCTGTCCCACTGATTTCGATATGCCTATTATATAAATGAATTGATACGTATGTAAATGTTTGCAGAGATTAACATTAAATGAAGATTAAAATTTTCTCATAGTTGCTTATAACATCATAGAGCTGATGAAAAAGCCATGACCTACTGAGATGAAGGAATATACCAGCTATACTGCTTTCCTGTGACTACTCTCACTTTACACAAAGCTGTTGGATGGAGGAGCAGTGGACCAGAGCTGTAGAAGATATTGCTAGGCAGGAAAGCTTGATATAGATCTCACAGCTGTTTTGCAGCTGCTGTAAGGCAGATATAGGAAGAATCTCAGATGCACAACTAGTTATTTTAAAAGACAGAGTATGGAACTTTTAAATTGTTTTCTGAGCTGACAAAAAAAAAACAAAACAAAACAAATAGCATCTCTAGAACTTTTAATATAAGCAAGTGTTCAGACACACAAAATCCACAAAAATACCAAGTGTTACATGCAATGAGGCACTAAATTGCACTGCCAGACATACATAGAAAGCAACTGGGTATGCTCTAGGTCTAGAAAATGTGGCTTCAGAGGATTCTTCAGTGGAGTTTCTTTGGATATGTTATTATACTCTATCAAACTCAAACATAGACAAAGCACTGCCATAATCTTGGTCATTCTTTAAGAATATCCCATGGTTGGTTACTGAGTATGTCTATAATACGGTTGGGGAAAGAATTATGCTGTGATTAACAGGAAACAAGTTAGCTTTAAATGGACTCACACTGATACGTTCAAGCTGTACTAAATTCAGCTCAGGTTTTATTGACAGGTCTAAAGTAAGATATTGGGAAGATATGAGCTACTGTATCCACGGAAATTTTTTTGAGTCTATCTATATCTAAAGATGGTCATTTCCATGCTCAGTCTCTAGGTAACTTTGAGTATCTGTCCGTGATTGTAGCTCTGCCCAGCAGTACAGGCACTAAGCCCCAGGCCAGCTCTACACACCAAAATCATACTGCTTTAAGCACAACTCAGGCTCATCTTCCTCTCATGGGTCATTTTGTTTTAATAATAGCTGCACACAGTTGCTTTTTAGGACAGGAAGTACCAAAAAAAAAAAAAAAAAAAAAAAAAATAGCAGCCAACAAACCCAGAGTTGAAGTGATAAAACAGTAATCCCAGGAACGTTTCTGACCTCATGCCACTGCTACTTACAAATACTCTTTTAATAGTGATGAGTCAATGATATCAGGCCTTGTGTGATCTGACATGCAGCATGTGAGATGACAGTGTTTGGACAGAAATACTCTACCTCCATCAAGCTTGCTGGCTCCTATTATAGCATGTCTGTTAAATCATGCTGCTGAACAAGCTTTGGCAGTTATTATGCAAGCTTCTGAAGTGAATGAATCACAGTGGTTAACAGATGATTGAACAGAGCCATACAGTGCGATTCCTTAATTTCTTTCAGAGGTTCACACTTCAAATCAATTGGAGCAAATCTCAAGCTATATGACACTGAAAACAGTCCTCTTTCTTTCAAAAAAACCTACGCCAAACATCCTGATCTTCTGTGAAAGCAACAAAACTGTAGATGGACAAATCTGCTTATTTCCAGGTAGAAATGCATCTCGGTATTTTATTTTGGCTCTGGGGTGAATAGCTGCAATATCTACATAAGAAAGAAATGTTGTCACGTGGTCTGCCACATATCAAATGCAGGTATGGTTCATGCTTTATTTTTCATAGATCTGCAGAAGAGCATTTCTAACCTGTGACCGAGAAAAAATGACAATTCTATCTTCAGCAGATTTAACTAGAGCTGGACTAATTGTATCTAACAGGCTGCTTTCCAGTGTCTGCTGCTGAGGGTGGGACTACATTTAATTAACTTCCCTTTGCTTTTAAATAGCTGTTCATGGAAATCAAATAATTTCTTGGAAAGAAAACCTAAATCTACAATACTGTTATTGACCAGGATATTATTTTTGCATGTAAATTCATAGCGAATGACCATTGGATTTCTATGTTTCATTAACTCTGCTTGAAAAAAAAAAAAAAAAAAAAAGTCAGTCTGAGCCTGTGACAGTCACTGCAACAACTTGAAAGTTCTTTTTATAACAGATTTAAATATTTACACAGGCTGTACCTTTCTTTTCCTTATTCCTTTTTTTTTTTTTTTTTTTTTTTTTTTTTTTGATATACAGCTGTAGAACTCACAGATTACAAGAGTACACTTGCATGCACAGTCTGGACTGATATTATAATTCCAGGGTCGTGATTAATTGCCACCTCAGGAATTGAAATCCATTAAAATTTCTAATGTTTTTAACTCATTTTTTGGGTACATTTATTGTGATGTCTCTACTCTTTTTGTACCTTTCTATGTTTTAGCAGTAGAATCGAACTGAACAAATTTATCAATTTTCATGCACCTGGTATACTTAGACTCACAAAATAGCAGTCATTGAGCTTTTGATATAAAAGAACATTCCCTAAGTGAAGAGAAAATCACTAAAAGAACTTCATATATACCAATTTTTGAAAGATCTCTGCAATTTCTTTCATTTTTGCATGTCTAAATATCATCTACAGATAAGCTCTGACAGTCTTATGTATCAGCTACATACACTCCTGAATCTTTTTTCCTGTCCATCTGTGTTCTCTGCAGGCCTTTCATGAATCTTCTCTGTTAAGGAGATAAGGAGAGAGATTTACACACTCTCCTTTTGATGCCAGCAGCTTTGTTGCTCACTATGGCCTACCGTATGCAAGGAAGTGCTGTCACATCAAAGTTACAGGCTTGCCTTGCTTGTCGTTATTTGTAGTTTTAGCATACTCTCCATTGGTGCACCACAGAAATGTGATGCTGGGTTGCAATATCAGGAAAAGAAAAGAGGCATGCTGAAATTTTTTTTCTGGCTCTCCCCATTTGAGAGGCTGCAGTGAACCCTGATTTACTTCAGTAAATTATCTACATGTTCATAGAAAGCAGTGGTGGGAAGTCCCCATTTCCACCTCTGTCATGTGTCCCTGGAGTGTCAACACATCTATACTATCACATCATCACCCGCATGGCATAAGATATCAGATGTATACATTTTTTTTTGCTAGCTAAGGAAAACATGCTTCTAACACAAGATTACAGTGACTGGTGTCAGATGATGACCCATAATATAGCTGAAAATAATGCCAAAAGCCACTGCCATGAAATGAAAGAAATCAGTGTAAATTTACTGTATAATTAATTTAATTGAGGAATTAAGCACAAAGCAGAAGTGAGCACCGATTCCAGTCCTTTCTGAATTCAAATGTCACTCTTCAGAAATAACATAATATTTGAACTTGTATTACCAGTGCCAGGGTTTGCTGCTCTTCATCCAGTCCTATAAAATACAAAAGATGAGGTTCTCACCAACTGGAATATTTAACCAACCCGCTGCATTTCTCTGCATTTGAAGGGCGTTAGCCCATATTCCAGCCAAGTTATAGATGTAGTTCAGGAAATTACATTTTTCCTCCCTATATTTCCAAATGGATCATGTGGCTTCAGGTCTTTGTTTTAAGCTGATAAACAGCACTGCTGTAGGCTTTAGAATGTTTGTAAAATGAAACAAGCTGTTCCAGGAGCATGAAGCCTGCTTTCCCCCAAACCCCTCCCCCTGTGTGTATAACTGCTGTCTCCTGATTGTTCTTTGGTGAGAGTGGAAGTCACTGCAGGGCCTCCAGACTTTCAGATGCCTTTGAACTATTTGGGTGGCTCCAACCTCTGCATGTGTAGGTCATCGCCCAAGCACCCAGAGATGGTAAATATTCAGGTAAACCCTGCAGCCTTCCTCGCAGTTATCACTAACTTTGACTTTCTCTCTGTCCCTGGCTACTAACGTCCGTGCTGCTCACTCACTGTGAATTGCAGATGTCAGGAACAGTTCCGTAAACCACCTGAAGGACAGTAGCTCTGGGATAACCAACAGGGAACAAGCGAGCACGGTGATCAACGTGGTTTCCTCAAAAAAAAGAAGAAACAACACGCATAATACTGCAGCATGAGGCAGGGCTGCGTCCCTCTCTTTTCTTGGTGAGAGCCGCCTCACGGCAGGCTGCCGTGGGACAACCTAGAGCTACTCATCCCGCCGGGAGGCCAACAAGCGCCGGGACGGCAGCTCCCTGCATCCCCCGGCGCCCAAAACAACCCGCATAAACCGGCTCTCTCATCAGCTGGCGCAGAAATCGGGTCCTCCCGTCCCCGGGAGTTCCCCCTCCGCCGTCCCCTGATCTCGCAGACGAGAACGCCCCGCTCCCGAGGCGCACCCTGTTCCCTCCACCCGCCTCCGGACAGAGGGCGGACGGCAACGGGACGGAGAGCACCGCGCGTCCCGGGCGGGAAGCACTGCCCCCTCCGCACCCGTCCGACCACGGCGCACAGAGCGCCTGTGGCTCGGCGAGTCCCTCCTCGCGCGCCGTAGCGATGCTCCCGGCTTCGCTGCCCCGTGAGGCTGATTCTAAGATGGCGGCCGCGCGGGCGGCTCTTGGCGGCCGGGTCCCTGCAGCCGGGTAGAGCTCCCACCCCCGTCCCCTCCTCCGCCGCTGCACCTCCGGCGCCGCAGCGGGCCGGATCGGGCCGCGCACTGCGATCCACCGCCATGGCGGCCTTGGTGCATGCATGAGAGACGTTGCCGCACCGCTCCCTGCCGCCGCCATGGAGGAGCCGCCGCCGCCGGGGAGGTCAGTGCCGGGAGCTGCCAAATAGGGAGCTGCGTGCGGGGAGCGCGGGTCGGCAGCTGCCAGATTGTGGCTGGACGGCGGGCGGGGGCCGAGCCCTGCTGCAAGGCGGCGGGTGCGCGTCGTGCACGGGGCTCCGGCTCTGCAGCCTCAGTGCTTTCTCCTCGCGACCACCGAACCGGCAAGCGCACCGATAAGAAATCTCTAGCGGCCGCGGGTGGGTAAGGTAGTGCTTTGTGGGCGCTCGGCAATTAGCAGTGTATCGCCTCCTCCCCCCTGTCGGGCAGCGGAGCGGACCGGCGTTGTGAGGTGCTCTGCGGGACGGCTCTAGAGAGAACTTTTGCCGGAGCGGGGACTGTGGGCTGTGGAGGAGGGAGGAGAGCGCTGCGAGCGGCGGCTGTGGGCGGGCGGAGGGGTCGGAGCATCGCATCGCATCGCATCGCTGCTGGCGGCATCCTGGTCGGGAGGTGCGGCTCCGGGAAAGGCTCCCGCACAGCGGCTGCGTTGTGCGCGCTCCTCCAGCTCTGTGCCGCCGCCGCCTCGGAGCTGGCTGACTCCGCGTGGCTGTGCCCGGCTGAGAGCTGGGGGTGCAGGCTACTTCTCGGCTTAGCGTTTCTAACCGGCTGCAGAAGCGTTGCGTAAGTCCGAGTTGTTAGTTCGCTGGCGCTTATTTTTCTTTTTAAAATAACATCCCGTTGATGCGCTTCGCTCCTCGCTAGGAGGCATTCAGGAAGCGTTTGGAAGCTCTCGGGTGATCGATTAGTTCTGCAGGGCTGGAGGCGGGCGGCTTGCTGCCGTGAGCTCCGCGCCTTGTTGAGCTGCTGTTCTGCTCCGGAGGGACCAGAGAGGACGTGGGGATGCTCGCAGTTTGCATGGCAGAAGGCATGGAAAAAGTTATTTCAAAATACTTTTGCGATATCTGATTACGAATGCCAGCAGGGCGAGTAGATGTGAGTGAGTGTCAGGGTCCCTTCTTACAGTTACTTCGAGGAACGATAGTGCAAGTTAGGAGGAAAACGCTTTCAAGTGAAGTTTGCACAGCAGCGTGACCCTGGGACCTGGGCTGCCTCCGTGTAGAGAAGCAGTGCAGCGCCTCGCTGGAATACACCCAGGCATTTCCTGTCTGGGGCCATTTCTGACCTCTGCTGGATTCTGCTTTTTAACAGACAGTTTATGTGAGTCGGATGTGGGTGTGGATGGTGTGGTGGCAACTTCACCCGGAGAATGAAAACAGAATTAGTTATTTCGGAGTGAGCTGGTGGGTGGGAAGGAAACGTCGCAAAACAATTAGGTAGTCTTAATTGGTGTGGGGCAACGCATGCACTTTGCTGTGATTCACTTCTGTGTGCACTTGGTGTACTGACTGCACAGCTGCTTTGGAATTGCTTCTCTGGCTTTGTGCAATACTTTATGTCTGCATTACTTTTAAGAAAAAGTGTTGGAGGCTTTTTTCAACATAGCCAAAGTTTCTTTAGATTTTGGAGCTGTCATTAAGTATGTCGTTCTTGCTTGTGAGGTCAGAATCTTGTTGAAATCGCTGTGATGCACCAGGCTGACAGTATGAATTTCATTTGGTGGCATTGGATAGGCTGATTGTTTTCAGGCCTGCTTGCGGCATATGAATGTGTTTTTATGCTTCTCTGGCTAGCACTGCGTCAGTATAATGCATTCTTTTAAAGTTAAATTTAATTTTGTTGGGCAAGTCCTCAGCCATTCTCATTTGCAATACAGCTACATTTGCTTAAAAAGAAAGTTGATTGCTTTATTGTTGTGAGACAGCCTTTTGTGTCAGAAATCTTTTGATCTTTGTGTGAGGATTCTGTCTTGTCGGAACAGAAATGCAGTGGTACCTTTTGTATACATAAAGTAAGCGTGCAATACATTCATGGCTTTATTTGAATGATACAGTTGTTCTAAGATGTTCCAAAGCATTTAATTGTAAACTCCTCTCTAAAAGCAAACTTTTTTTCCCCCAGGGCTTCCTTTTTTTCTGGAACATATGCTTTGGGGTCAGGAGAGAGGGGAGGCAGCTCCAAACCAAAGAAGGTGCGCTTGAAGCCAGAGAGTAGGTGCTGAATTTGAGACAGGATTGCACTTGCATAAGGCTGCTGTGATTATGGATAAGGGAAATAATGCTCCTAGAAAGTTTTGTGAAGTATTCACATTTAGGTATTGATTCTTGTTACCAAGCAAACAGAAAGTTTTCAAGATTTCCCCTCGGGTTGTGTAGAACACTAAATAAAACAGGTGTCTCCTTGTTCGTGGCTTATAGGCTTTAAATCTTCTCACCTCAAACTTAGGCACTCACAAGAGCTTTATGGCACAAAATTCATTGTGGCAATAAGTGAGGCCTTAAGCAATTGCTTTGTCAGCATGCCATTTTTTGGGGCACACTGTAAAGGTGTGAAGAGCCATAGAGCTACTCTGACTTGTCCTTGGTTGCTTGTAGACCTCTTTTGTCCTGGCATAAATCCAATGCAAGGGGTGGACAAGGGAGCATGGCTGTGAATATAG